GTATACGCCACCCCAAGTGCAGGAAGAGTCATCAAAACCTTTTATTGTTTTTCAGGAAATGACTCAAAATATCATTAACAGTAACTGAAAATACATGAGATGACTTTTTTATTATTGTTGGGACAGATATTGGAGTATAGGTGATGTATAGCGCAACATACATTTGGACTATATGCAGACTTTAAACAACAAACTGTGCTTGCTAATAGAAATTATGCATTTTATGATGTCATCAGCACACTCGAAGATCTCTGTCGTCCGGGCTAATACAAGTGCCAGTCTCATGTGCTGATGTGTCTGTTGTGGAAACACACACACACACACACACGCACACACACACACACACACACACACCGAAGAAGGAACATTCAATCTGGGTCATGCATCCAAACATGCAGAAGAATTATGTGCAGTACATCTGTGACAACATAAAGATGTGAGAACATTTTATCCAACACTGCTTGCTCAAGAAGAAAATACCTGATTACACCCCATCACAAATAGTTTTTTAGACGTCAGTGTGAAATTGCCTTCTTTTTAAAGTGCAAAAGCGTGACATTACCGTCTCCCGAAGTGCTTTCTGTTTTAGCACTCTGGCTAATTAGATGGGTGATAGGAGTGGCACTGATTGACATTATAAAAGCTGCACAATCACTCCTCACCGGTTCCCTGTAACCCTCCTCCCTCCCCTCTCTGCTCAAAGTTGCCATCAGAGGAATTATTTAAGATAAAAGACACCATGGAAAAAAAAAAGATTATCCCCTGACAGATATTATCATTACAACCCTTTATCGAAAGTGCTAACTTACTTCCCCCCCTCGCCTTTCTCCGTCTGTGCCACTCACTCTGCCTCTCTTTCTCTGTCTCCCAGCGGATAGAAAAAGGCAAGGATAGAGAAAGGAGGAATAGAAGAGTGAGTGAGCTCTGTCAGTTGGAGTGAGTGCACTGCTAAGTCTGGCTACACTACAAAGGTTAGCAGATCTGACTGTCAATAGTGTCTTGTGGGTGGGAGGAGGAGGAAGGAGGAGACATGGAGGTGAGGTGGGGTGGGTGGGGGGGGCGGTCGCTTTGAGAGAAAGAGATACTTTGATATTTCGGAATGTTAGAAGGGTGAATGTGGAGAACTGGAGGTTGGGGATCTAATTACCGGGCCATAATTGGGGGCTGGGGAATAGGTTGCCGTCCTCTCAACTCGCTGCAGATCAATTATGTTAAGAGAACATCTGTAAGTAGAGCTTAATGAGGTCCATTAGAGCAACATGCGCTGCCTTCCCTAACGGTGCTTGTCAGCTTCTTGGATGAGCTGGAGTGTGCTGCTGACTGGGGACCTGGTGGAGGGGCTTAAATAGGAGAGAAGGCTCGACTCTCTGCCGTTTGTCCTCTGCCAGAGAAACAGAGAGACACACGGACTGACAGGGGAGGGAGAAGGTGAGGAAGCTGCAAGGGGGACAGAGTCGCCCTGCGAGCCCGGTCCAGTGAGGCGCAGAGCCGCGGGGGGGTGGGGGGAGAGAGGTTGATCTGACATCCCAACAACTTGAGCAGAACTGTTCTCTAACTCCTGTTTGCCAAGTTTTGTTAAGACTCTCAGAAAGTTGCCTTGCGGACACTTTGATTCAAAGTTAAGAGAGCAGAGAAGATAAACGCCGCTGCAGCGACCCCGAGTATTTGTTTTGGGCATCCCTGGCTGCACTTCAAGGTACGTGTGTGTCTGGGTTGGGAATTTAACGCTTTCCACAGAGCGAGGGCTGCGCGTAAAGTGTCGAGCGAGTTACGCAGGAAGACATAAACACAGCCAGCATGCAACTGCTGGGGACATAACAGCGACTGTCTGGTGCTTAAGCGGCTGCTGTTGAGGATGTGCTGTCGGCTTTTGGTACACGTTCCGGCTGTATTTCTTCATTAGATGCAGGGGCGGAGGGTTGGGGTCATCATAACAAGCTTCTTCTCTGTCCGTTTGTATGTATGAAGGTTGTAAGAGACTTGATCTCCACCATCCTCCACCTTCACTGCTGCTTCACTCCTGTCTCCATCTTCCATCCATTCACGGGGAGGATGAATAACTGACGGAACGCAGCGAGTGAGGGGGGGTGGAAGGGCACCGGGAGAGAGGTGGCAGCCTCACACACACTCTGCAGCAAATTGCATGATTACCAAGATAGGCCGCCTTGAAATAATTCAATCCATGACAAAACCTAATTACTGGCAGGTAATACCCTGTCAGCTTTAATGCATCCCATCACTCATAATGGCGCGGAGAGCATTTTATGACCCATCTCATTATCGCTGCATTTTAGGCCAGAGCCACATGCCAGCTATTGACTTGTGTTTCCACCTCCCACAGCCCCCCTCCCTCCCTTCCTACCAGAATATTTAAGGGAATAACTTACATTTGTCGGGGCTGTGTATTGGAACCCTGCGCGGAGTTTGTGCGTAATAGGGAGGCATGAGAGGGGGGGGCTCGGTGACCTAACGTGTGGGCCTCACCACAGTCCAAACAGGGTTGCTAATTGATGCGGACTGGCGCTATAACAGGGCGAAGAATAATTCCGTCCTTTAATTACAGGAATTATTTAAATAAAGAGTGTGGAGAGGCGATAATCAGTCCGGCGGCCACTGTGGAGCCCTGCTTGTGCCAGAGGAAGAGGAGTCTATGACCTCCACAAAGATTGATTTCATTGTCCATGTTGGGTCTGCTTCCTCTTTATTTGCACTCTTTTTATTTTCTCAGATTAGTCCGAACTGAATGTAAAAAACACCATGGTAACCAAAAATACACGCAGGAGCAAACGGTTGACTGTCACTCTTTTGTGCTCACTAATTGTTTTAAGGTTCATTAATTGGGGCTCCTAATAACCTTGACAGTTAGGCTAAATCATGACTTGATTCTACAGGAGATGATTAGGGTCAAATGTGAAAAAAGAATTCTGAGTTCTGAGTTTAAGGATCTGAGTATATAGATAGATAGATAGATAGATAGATAGATACTTTATAAGTCTACGACAAGTGGCAAGTGACATGAAAATAATGTGACAATTATAGTAGGCCTATAAAGACCAAGTAAAAAACAACAAACAGACTTTTCCATAATAAATAAATACAGATCTGACACAGTGTAATCTCTGGTGTCATTTGTGAAGGACAGATGTCAGTCATGTGTCAGAAAGAATGCCTTTTAATGTGCCCCTGAAAGCAGCATTATACAGGTGTTAAACTGAAATCTGTGACCCGTCAGATTCAGTGACTAGCCCTGATATTCTTAGACTAACAAATGTCACTGCAGGTCACAGTCACACATTTTTGTTGTAACACCACAACTTGTCCTGACATCAAACTGCTCTGGGAGCAGGTGCTGATCTAGAGGGCTGGCTCTCTTTTTAAAGGTAATGTTACTTATTACTCCCTGCCAACAGTAATTAGTCACACGACTAGTTATATTACATTTCTGCTACTCCCCACAAAATTGGTAATTGTGTCCTTTCTAAGTAATGGAATCTTCCACGATTACAAAAATTAATCCGAGGATGTGTTTGGATTGTTTGATTTCAAATCAGTAGGGGGTGACAACAAAGGTAAGGTTGTAACTAGTTAATTTTGTGGTAATATTATTACTGAAATTAATGATTAATTAGTTACACTACTAGTTACTAGGGAAAGTTATTACTAGCTTAGCCTACTGCCTAGTTTGGTGTCAAATGCTGTTATTAATTTAACACATTAATTTATATTAATTTTAAAAATAATATGCTAAATTAATCAAGTTATTTAATGGTGTGTTATGGACACATTTTAGTGACAGGCTTAGGTTCAATGAAAACAGACATGTAGGCTATTTGAAAAAAAATTATGAAGATTTGGAAATAAACTATTTATTTGATGATTTCTAATGCCACCTTAAGATATTTCTTTTCAGTGCTTTACTAATGTGCCACGATAATGTTTTTGAGTTAAAACAATCTTCATTTGCGGGCTTTTGCAAGCAAATTTCATATATGTGATTGTTTTTATTTAAAAAGTCTCCATGTCACCCTCGGACACCCCATGGATATTTCTTTAGATCAGCCCCTGTGTGCGTGCACTCCTAAACAACTGTACCTATCTTTCTGTCTCAACAATGTAATAAGCGTGTGCGCGCACCCGCGGCTCCAAGATTGAAGGACGTTGGGGAAAAGTGGGCGTTCCGGGGGCGCGTACGTGATACATGCCCTCAGTTATAGTGGAGCGGCTGGTGATAAGTGAATGACCTTATCGTGGCGGTGTAATGTCTTACCGGTGAGGGATTGGGGGTTTGGAGATAATAAAGCTTGACTTTCCTCCTCGTCTCTCGCCACTCAGTCGCTGATGCATGCATGGGGACGCCGGCCTGAGACCCGCACACTCCCTGCATGCTTCACGGCGGGCAGATGAACACCTGTAGCTGGGTAGTATCCTCTAAACTGGCCGCCCTGATCCATGTGGAGCTCATTATTTCATCCTGAAGATCAGCACTGCGCGACGCGCGATGCCAGTTTGGTGAACTTTTTCTGCTCAAAGGGGATCTGTAGGTAGAATACGCTGCTGGAGTCCAGCCTTCTGCTTAACTTGTTGAGAAAGGTGAGTGAGCCATTTTTGCATTTTTAAACAGCAATATTGCTGCTACTTAAATGTTCTTAATCATGAAAACAAGGCTTGGGTGAATCTAGATTGCATGTGCTGTGAAATTTAAATGTCTGGATGAAATGTGAGAGTTCTGGATGAGCAGGATGAACGTTCAGGGAACCGTGTCTGTTGTCGTTCTGTGTGCGCGATGCCCGGTCCCGCGTCAAAGTGCTGATTAGGGAGGCAGCGTGCAGCAGGAGCCGCTGTGAGGTGGCCAGTAGGATTAGATGGTCGCTGCGGCGCGGAGGGGTAGCATCTCTTTGTCGTCCTGTCATTCGCTGCCTGCATCTCTCCGCACACACAGCTCCCCGGTCGTCGATAAACGTGCTCTCACAACGCCGTGTGACGCCCGACGGCAACGAACACCTCTCTAGCTTTCTCCGCCTGTGTTTTGTCGGCCGGTGTTCCCCCGTTTTTCTTTTCTTTCCTCCTCTGGTCGCCGTGCTGGATTGTTCCCCCCTCTAACAAAGCCTGATCCCAGCCTGCCTGTAGACAGCTGCTCTCCGGACCAGGCGGCTCCGGGTTGCATGTTGGTGCTTCGGCTGCTTCAGTGGTTCAACAAATGCAGAAAAGGGAGAAAAGTTTCGGTAAGATGTTTACTTCGGCATGTTTGAATGGCCCGTTTCATGTGTGTTTATGGTGCTCTTCGACGGCAAGTTCCAGCATCTCTGCGTCGAAGGCGATGTGTCCAGATCTCTAACCTAATCCATTATCTCTGTTGTTCCACCGCTCCCCGTTCATTAAGGCAGCGGGGAGATACGTTCTGGTGTAATGTCAGTGATCATACAGCTGATATGTGCACTGTGCTGCGGCTCCAGTCTCTGTTATGTGCTTGTGAACGATACATGGCAAATTGCGTCTCTGCGTTAAATCCGTTATTGGCCTTTACCGTTACTCCGCTGCCATGGCAACAGTAATTAAACTGATAGGGTGAAATGTCAGCATCTCGTTGGCAAACAGCTGGGTCTCAAATAGCAGGCTATATTCTCCGCTCCATCCCTCCGCAATCCTCCATCCGCTCTTGGCTGAAGATGATGATACATGTGGCCGGGGGACGCGCAGCGGCGGCAGCCTGGAAGAAGCGGAGGAAAGGAGGGATATGAGCCAGCGCGCAAGCAAAACAGATATCATTAGGGCTCTGAGCAGCTGTGACTTTCCTTCCATTTGTGAAAATTAAGCTTTGTTCAGCGACCCCCCC